TGATTATAATCCCCTCCATATACCATCAGTTAAAAGTATCTCTCTTATGCACTTTAGCTTTTTAAAAAAAACACAAACAAAAAACCCCACTCAGGCGTATGTAATAATTTGCATCTCCAAAGGGCACATTCTGCAAGTCTGCTCCTGGCCACCAGTTCTTAGTCCTTCTCTTGATGAATCTAGAGTCCTCAGCCGCTACCACTCTCCATGCCTACATATCTTTCTCCATCTCCGGCGCTGCTGCTTCTTTGGATAAGGTCCCGCATTCTATTTGTGCATTCCTCTCTTGATGGTCCTGGGGTCCTCTGTTTCTGGACTGTAAGATTAACCACTCCCCTTTTTTTTGTTAACAAAACTTCTACCTTTACAAGTGTGACAGTCATGATTAGTCATGATAACAGTTATTCACTATTGAATGTTACAAATCTTATCCCCATCTCTTTTCACCAGACCCCATCTCTATTCAGTGGGGACTCTTACCCCCATATTCTTAAACTAAACTTCCTCTTGAAATCTTGTAAGCCAGGCACTTAATGCCTTTATTGCCCCTTCATTTTAGATAGCCAATGTCTTAAGTTGCCCGTCCCTATCTACCCTGTGCACAGAGCAGATAGCATTGATAATTGATTTGAAGACTCTTTCCCTCTCTGTTGATATTTAGAGTAACTACCGCTCTGAGTATAGGTTAGGTTCATCATGAAGATGTATCATCTGCCACTGTAGCTGTTCTAGTCTGCTTGTCCTTTCTAGTGGGAATGTCTCACCTCACATGTTTATGCATGGGACTCAGGATTCCACCTAAGGTCCTATACTCTGTAAAGGCTTTGCACGAGGCCTATTTCACTGGGCAAGTTGTAGAACCCCTTTTAGGTATTCCAATCAGTTTTAGGCTGAATGCGGGCTTACAAGTTTTCTCTAATCGTGTTTCCCAACATTCCTTTCTATCCCACTCAAGTGTCTATTTTACAACAGTAGGCAAGGGAAACTAACATTCATAAGGCAGTCAAGGATTTTGTATTATTTACCCTCTTCAAGCTATACCTAGGTCCCTGTATCCCAGAGCCCTGTTGTTCCAAGGTTGAGTATGCATCATTATTTACCTCTGTTCCACTAGGCCATGCAAACCTGTCTCAGTGTTCCCCTATCTATCTTGTTCTTTCGCCTCCTCCCCACTTCTTGTATTGCCCTCCCCAACACCCAAAATAAACCCCCCACCCCAACCCCTTTGTGGTTACCTTATATTCCATTAGTTCTTCTCTCCATTTAAGATAGTCTATTTTATCCAGTAATCTACCTGACCTTCTCACCACCTGGAACTCTGTTCTTTTATGTTTACCTTTTTTCATATTTTAATTGTTTTTGATCATAGTCTGACCTCCCAGATCCTCTGTTCTTATAATTTTATTCTGTTCTTGACTCTTTCATTTGTCGACTGAGTTCAGGTTGATGTTGCCATGTACGTCGTTCTGTATTTGTTATGTGTTCTTGTTGGTTCTCAGTCCACAGAACTTCCTTTAGGATGTTTTTCATAGCAGGTTGGCTTTGGCAAAATCCCTTAGCTTCTGCTTATCCTGGAATGTTTTGATTACACCATC